CTCTTGCATAACGCATAAAACATGAAGCATAAGAACATCAACCAATCAGAGTCCTTTATTTCATGGAATGGAAGGAAATAAAGGACTTTGATTGGTTCATTTTCTTATGCATTACATGTTATGCGTTATATAAGTCTGTGCTCGCCGCTTTAACCGTGAATTATGGAACTGAGCCTAAAGCGAGAAGCACAGACTCTTAACACATAATGTATAATGCATAAAAGAATCAATCAATCGAAATTCTTCTTTTCTATGGAATGGGAGAAAGTGAAAGATTTTGATTAGTTGATTCACTTATGCATTATGCGTTATGCAAAAGTGTGTGCTACGACCTTAAAGCAGGGAGCACAGATTCTTACAGACTCTTGCATAATGCATAATACCCTAGCAAACGAGAATTAATTAAAATGGATGAAAATTTTTTTAATGCGTACTTTAAATCCATGAAAATGGATTGAATCCGAGCTGACACTAGTTTAATATTTGAGAAAAAAAACCCATTTATGTTTAAAGGATTACAAATTTTATTCCTAAGACATTTATAATAATTATACCTGAAACTACTTTAAATTGTTATTAAAACAACGCATCTTAATGGGATTCGAACCTGGGACTTCTGGATTATGAATCTTCTACGTATATATATATATATATATATATATACACTATACACAGCCCGACTATTATAAATAGTTCGACAATAGTTCGACTTGCTTTGCAAGTGTTCACATCGATCATTCATTTTACTTCTAATCAAAGAGAAACAAAAAAACATAGCTCAATTATTTTTTCGTTACAATTTTTTTGAACTTAGTTGGATTAAAACGAAAAATTTCCTACTTATAATTTTGAATTTAAGTAGCATTTATGGTCCATTTTTAAATAAAAACTTTTATTTCAATTAGATTGAAAAATTGCATTTTAGAATATTGAATTGAGCAGTATTCACATTGCACAGAAATTGCTGATATTATTTTTGAATTTAACTGAATTAAAAAAACTGTATTTTCTATTCACAATTCTGAATTGAGTAGTATTCACGATGCACAGAAAATGCTACTATTATTTTTAGATTGAAAGCATAGAGATATGCTGTATACAATTCCTATAAATAAATAAAAATGCATTCAGGATTGAAAAGGATTTATTTTAATATTTATGAATTCATATTTCTGAAAATCTGAATCTATTCTAATCCATTTCAATCCATTCTCGTTTGCTGGGACATGAGGCATAAGAAAATGAACCAATCAAAGTCCTTTATTTCCTTCCTTTCCGTAAAATAAAGGACTCTGATTGGTTGATTTTCTTATGTTTCATATTTTGCGTTATGCAAAAGTCTGTGCTCCTCGCTTAAATAATCGACGAAGATAGAATAACAGAAGTAGCGCCAATAACGTTTCCCCGAACACACCATAAATAAATGATAAATAGACATTTTATTCATATAATCGTGCTACATGTAATACGATTATATGAATCAAATATCGATTTATCATTTCCAGCCTTGAAAAGTGCACGATGGACCGTAAGAAAAGTAGACGTTGCTATGTAGTTTACATCCACTTGTCAGAGGGCAGTAGTTCGCGACAGCATTTTTGCAGTTACAGATTTTGGGCCGTCATGTCCTCTCTCAGGTTTCTCTCTGATATCAGCCTAAGTATATCTAGAGTTTTAGCTACTGACGGAAAATTTCTGGCAACATTGTTTCTGTGATTGGGCTGATCTCACGAACGCATTGCAGTCTGCCAGTCTGCAGTGTTGCGATAGACTTCTCTGAACGTTCGACATCATGCTGAGACCCTTGCTGCTCCTGTGCTGGGCCGCGACGATTGTATCAGGTAACGGGTTCCTAATGAATTCGTAATCTGCAGCCGTCGATGCAGATAACTATCCATGCCAGAAACGTATTATCGTGATCTTGCACAGCGATGTCAATGATTCCATCACATCATCATCATCATCATCCTCATCATCATCGCTGTGTTCGTCGTCGTCGTCGTCCTCGCAATCTCGCTTTGACGAGAAGGACGAAGTAAACGGAAAAGAGAGATCGCGACCCTAAAGTCACGCTTGCCGTCGCACTTCGGAGATTAATTGCGCATTCCAAATTACTGAAAGCGCCATGATGATGAGGCGGACCGGATCTTCATGGACGAGAATGTTGTCACGACAGTGACTTGAGTGCAGCTGCACTCATTTCGTCTCGTCTCGTCTCGTCTCGTCTCGCCTCGCCTCGCCTCGCTTAGCCTCGCGTCGCGTCACGTAGTTATGTTATATCGCTGTAATCCGATGATTCGATACGAACGATTATATGCTTTTAAAACAAAACAGTCGCTTAACAGTCACATACGCGAGATACGACATTACGCAGTATCTTGAAGATGCCGGATCATATTTTATGCGATAAGAATTATCATGTCATACTCTATTCTATAACTTGTTAAGATAGTAACGACATCAGTTACGCAGATATTTTTATGGTATACAAAGCGCAACAATGTTATTATTCTCTTAACAAATTACAGAATAGAAGTCCTAGAAAGAGTCTGTCTCTTATAGATTTATGCGCGTTTCTAACAATTTAGATTAACTTTAATCTTGGCTCGAAATTGCTCTTCAATTTTTTTAAATTTGTAAAACTAGACAAAGATTAAAAAATGCAACTACATTGGTAAAAACGATCATTAATTGGTTACGACAACGCCTTTATCTTTTACCTCTAAATCTATTGCTGTGTAAAATCAAAATAATTTCGACTCGTGTTTTTTTTTTATTAGATGTTCTTTGTTTAGAAGTTCTTTTTTTTTCATTTATGTTATTTTACATATTTTTTTATGCATAAACATTTAATTGATACTGAAAACATATGTAAAATTTAATTAATACATATAGATAAATGTTTAATAACATATATTATAAATATTTGATCCTTGCATACTTTTTTAAACTGATTAAAGATATACCTTAGCTTTAAAAATATAAGATATATTGATCTATTTTTAAAAACCATTTTCTTTAAGCTCTTTGTTTACAATGAGTTTTGTTGATGCAAATTCTTGAAGGTCAGAGGTGAATCACCCTGTGATACAGAAATATAATATGCATGTATAATTTTAACAGCTGGCGACCCAGAGAATGTCAATCCCAATGACACAAGAATTTCTATCAACTCAACCAGCTACAATGCAGCTACAAATCCCCAGTCAATGCTTCAACCTGAAGTAAACGAAGAAATAAAGATGCATTCGATCTCTTCGAAAAATGAGAACACACTAAATAATTCTATATCAAAGACGCTCATTCCATCAACTATAATTTCGACTATGTCAACCACACCTTTGACGACTACAACAACTTCGTCAACTACAACCAAGTCAACAACTTCTACGCCTGCACCTATCACAACCGCTGTTCCTACAACATCAACGTCAACAACTCCGCTTCCTCCACCAAGTACTGGAAAATGGATAGTTAAAGAGAATAATACGATATGTATCCTCATTAAAATGGCTGTACAATTCAATGTTTCATATACCATCGATAATGTGGTAAGCACACAAAAATTAAGTTTATAATATTACATGTTAATATATAAAAATTGTTATCAAATTTGACAAATAATCAGAGACCAAAAGTCAGTTATCATAACAGTTATCGTAACAGTTATTTTGAAAATTTTGATCTAAAGAAATCATTGTGATTAAAAGTTGATATTTATGCACAAAGAAGACAATCATCATTAAATTTTAAAGAAATTACTCGAAAAATGTAATCTTTATAAAATATCAATTTTTATGTACTCTGATTGCGACCATTGTTAATGATAGAAATTGTTTTTAGTTGTGAATAATTATTATTGATGATAGAAATTGTCTTCAGTTGTGAATAATCATTATAGATGATGGCAATTGCTTTTGGTTACGAATAACCATTATAAGCGACTGAAATTGTTTTTAGTAAAGAATAACTATTATCGACAATTAGAAATTTATTTTGGTTATGCATTTAAATCAGTATCTTTTTGTACGTTTCTGTAACCTTTTAAGTTTCTGCAGAAGTGATAATTACAGAGAAATGTAAAAAAAATATAAACATATTAAAACATATCTTTCATCTTATTCTTTTTTCATAAATAATGCTATCTTTTATCTTTTATTAATTGATTTTACATTCATACTTATAATAAAATTGACAATAGCCCAATAATAATCAGAAACACTGTCAATATTGTTTGCCAGTAACCAATAAAGGCTATGTTCCAAAATTGATTACTTGTACTGAAAATCTATAGTGCATATAAACTGTCACATTTTCAATATTGGCAGTAAATTTGGAACACAGTTAAGGTCTGTAGTTTAGAGACTTTCGGTAACTACAATAATAAAATAAAATTTTGAGCATCAATAATGGTTATTCATAACCAATATCAAATTTACGATAGTTATTCATAATAAAAAATAATTTCTATCTTTGATAATGATTATTTCTAACCAAAAATAATTTCCGACATCAGTAATGGTTATTTGCAACCGAAAACAATTTTAATTATTTATAATAGTTATTTTTGTAATCTAAATCGCTTAAAGAAAAATATAATTGCTGCGTTCAGCAGTGAAAACTAATCAACGTTTAGTGATTCTTTAATATGATTGGTTCTTGCCTCTAGTTGATCATTGGATCTAAGTGTAGGAACCAATTATATTGAAGAATCACTAAAGTAAGTACTAATTGATTAGTTTTCTCTGCTGAACGCAGCATTGTTATGCTATAACTTTTTTATTTTGGTTATAACAGTTACGAGTCTCTGCAAATAATATAAAGGAGTTGGTGTATTTTAGGCGATTTGGAGAACATGGAACAGGGATTGTTGTGTTTACCTTTTTCCTTATTCAATTTTACTTGCTGAATTCGAAAATTATAGTTATATTATATAAAATTATCCTAGTATCCGGGAAATATTTTTTTTCACAGAATTTTTCACATTTTTTAAACAGAAGAAGATAACGGTTGGTTTTCTTGAATCATATCTACGAATTTCTCTTTGTTTTTATCATGTTGTTTATTTAATAAAGGCATTTCTCTTGCAGATGTACATTTTGTACACATGCGCGAAAGAGAGAACGCACTATAACAAAACAGAATACGTGACTTAAGAATAGGAATCGACCCTTATATGTAATGCAATATACAGGATATCCGGAAAATTACCCACAATATTCGGGAAGTGATTCGGGACTCAAAAAGAAGGAAAAAAAATTATATAAACATAGATACGGAAATAAATCGTTTCCGAGTTATAATTACTTTTATGTTTAAAAAAATTGTAATTTGTTTTTCATAATCACAGTCATCATTTCAAAGTGTTTTAATATAAATAATTATATTTCAGACTATTTGTCGGTATCTAAGATGCACCATGTGGAGGCATAATTCGCTTAGTATCCCACTTTATTTTTTTATTAAAAAAATTTTTTTACTTTACTAGAGGGAGAGATGTTAAAACACTATGAAATAAATTATGATTGTGATTATGAAAAATAAATTACACCCAGATAACAAAATGTTCCTTGACATAAGAAAAGAAATAGGTGTTTAGCACAAGTTTCTCTTCAATTGTCATTATGTTGCTGTCACCAGGGCAATAATAATTTCGTTTAGGCCAACCTAGGGGCATTATGCGGACAATGGTCGTTTACGCAACAACGAGCGGAAATGCTGTAGCAAACTTATTGCAATAATAAATGTTACTACAATCTGTTGGAAATCTTTTTGTAAAATATTTAGTCCACATTTTTGTCAAACGAATGGAAATGGAGCGTCAAAAATAGCAAAGTATGCGATATCGCGAGGCGATTTAGAGGGATGCATCGAGTTAAATTTCTCGATTTAAAAAAAATAGAATAGAATAAAGACGCAACGTTAAACGATTTTTCAGCTATGTTCTAATAAAATAATTTTTCGAAGTGAGCCCCAAGGGCTCTAAGATGAAAGCATAATACTTTTTTTCAAAATGTTTATCAAGTAAATGAAACCTCTTGATACTTTAATATGTATTTTGTTCTGCTTTTAATTTTATTCATAGTAACTTTTACCTGTCAACCCAATGCGCAATGAGTAATATGTCTAAAATTAACTCATAAGTCACTTTACGATATCTTTCAGAGTTTTTTTATAAAATATCTTAAAGATATTAAGAAACATGAGTACTCTGTGTGTTAAGAAACATGGGTACTCTGAGTTAAAATGACCCGACACATCTTTAAAGTGTTACCAAATCAATTATTAGTTGCAATGATTTCAAAAAAATATAGTATATAATTTTATCTTTTAAGAAAATGGAACAATAGCGTTTTAGTGAAATTTTTAATTTTAATACTAAAAAAAATTGTAACATGTCGGAAAGATGTGTTTTAAAAAAAAAAACAACTTTAAATTTATAATATTTTCAAATGCAGTTTTAGTCTAGTACTCTTGAGACTTTAAAAAAAAATAGCATGGTTACAATCTGACAATAGCGCGGTTCAAATCTGACATTTTGACCCGAAAAAAAAAACGCTTTTTGCGCGAATGGCTGCTGGACACATACTAGTGGTCCGATTAAAAAGCTAAGTATCTCTATCGATAATTGAAACTTCAAACCTCTAGTAGATGGCAAGTAAGCGCCTTTCCGAAAGAAGGTTTTAGAATTTAATGAAAGACAATGCTCAGGTCATTTTGATCCAGAAAGATCATGAAGAGTTAAATACGAATGGTATGATTTTTTTTATACAATATGGTTTTTCAAAAAATTATTCTACATATAAAAGTATTAAAGTGTGATATCAAAAAACCAATAGTTTACGAGTTATTTAACATTTTATATCAATATGTTTCGGAATAAAGTATAAAATATCTCGTAAATTGTTAGTTTTTTGTAAGTAGCATCGTTACTTAATACTTTTATATGCAGAATAATTAAAGGGGAACCATATTGTATAAAGAATCGTACTATTCCATTTAAAAAAGTGGAGGTGACCTCTATGTGATCTTGAAGAATCGATTTCTTTGTCAAATGATTTCATCATTATTTGTCCCCTTTCGAATTATACACTTTTGTCTGAAATATTTTCCTTATTCGCCCCCGATTATGCCGTCCTCGAACAAAACAGAAAAAACATCCTAACCGCCTAAAAGTTGCAGCCTAGACAGTGTCCGCTTGGAAATTTCCAACCCATGTAGACAGTAGGATGTGAAAATATACGAGGGTCGTTCGAAAAGTCCGTGCAAAGTCACTGCTGATGGCACTACTGGCGCGTATCAAGGTTAGATTTAGTTAGTAGCATCTCTTGGAGGAACACACACCAAGTTACAGCCAGATCGGTCTATTTGTTTGTGTTTGGCATTCATTTGAATCGAGGAAGTCGAGGGGGGTTTGTTTCTGCAATCACGTCCTCGTTTCCATAAAATCTTTTTCCCGCCAGCCATTTCTTCATATTGGGGAACAAATAGTAGTCCGAGGGAGCCAAGTCTGGAGAATAGGGGGGATGTGAGACGAGTTGGAACCCTAATTCCATTAATTTTGCGACCACAACTGCTGAGGTGTGAGCTGGTGCGTTATTGAAAATCACTCGACTTCCTCGATTCAAATGAATGCCAAACACAAACAAATAGACCGATCTGGCTGTAACTTGGTGTGTGTTCCTCCAAGAGATGCTACTAACTAAATCTAACCTTGATACGCGCCAGTAGTGCCATCAGCAGTGACTTTGCACGGACTTTTCGAACGACCCTCGTAAAATGGACATAAAATTCCAATACATCTAAACAGATATAGTGGATATGAATTAGAAATATATTTTATGTTTTGTAATGTGTGTGTGTATATAATAATGCACATAAAATATAATTCTATTATTCACTAATATATCTATATTATAATGTGTGTCTGTCTGTATGTATGAATGTATATATGTTACACGTAATAAAAAGAGATGAAGTAGCTACACACATAGTGCTAGATATTTCATTAGCCTTTTTGCAGAACGTGTATCATTAACCAATAACTGAATTAGTCTTTTCGCGAAAAGGTTAAAGTGCTAATCAGTCAGAGGAACGATCGTTGATTTCGCAAAAAGGCGCCGTTTTGCATAAAGGCTAGCCTTTTCGTAAAAAAGCTAATTTCTCAAAAAGGCTGTGACATATATACATATACTATACACAGAGTGTCCTATTTTAATCGACCACCTCAAATTTTTCTTAAACAGTGCACTTTAGGGAAAAATGCTTTAGACAAAAGTTTTGGCTTCAAGAGAGACATAAGATGATTTGACTTTGGGTGGCGTCACTAAGATCAGGGTTAGGTCACTGAATTTTTTAAATGGGACTCCTATTTTTCATTAAGTATTTTTCGAATTAAAAGGCTTGAAAGTTACAATAGTAAAAGTATTGTACTTTCAAGCTTTTTAATTCGAAAAGAACTTAATGAAAAAACATTTTATTGCAGAGTTCTAAAAAATGTTTGTGGTAAGCTACAGGAATATGTAACGAAAACTAAGAGTTTTATTTAAAAAATTTAAAGTAACCTAGCCCTGACCTTGAAAACGCCACCCAAGGTCAAACCAATGATACCATCTTATCTTCCCCTCGAAATAAAAAACTTCAGTCTAAAGCATTTTCCCCTAAAATGTACTATTAAAGAAATATTTGAGGTCAATTAAAATGGGACACCCTGTATACGTATATTTACATCTTTATATTTTACATATATACATATATATAAAATGTAAATATGTAAACCAATGTACAATGTAAATAAAAGAATATAAAAGAATTTATTTTTAGGTCCTGTTAATCCAAATATATGTATAGTTTTCCGCTTCATAAACGCTCCACAATAATAGCCTTTATTACAAAATCTTATTTTATTCTATAATGCAAGTAAAAGTTACGACTTTAATAATAATTGATTTTTATAAAAACAAAGACAAATTCGTAAGCATGGTTCAAAAAAGTGATAAAATTAATGCTTTCTTTTGTTTAAAATGTGAAAAAAAATTTCCTGGATACCAGGACAATTTTAATTAGAAATGCATATAATATAAATATGCATACTTATTTCTAGAACATTTGTATAAGAAAAAATCAATAATTTAATGATATCAAATTTCAATTATCGGATATGTTTCCGGATATTAATGATATCCAGCTATCTGGTTGGATAGTAAAAAAGTGCCGGATAATTTCCAGATATCCAGTGCATCCCTAATTTTAACTACGATTTTCGAATTTGGTAAGTAAAATTGAGTAACAAAAAATATGAACACAACGATCCTTGCGTGCTTCCCAAATCGTCTAAAATGCATTAACTTGTTTATACATTTATATACATATTATATAGAGAAGTGAATTACTACGTTCATGTTCATTAAAATATAGTGGTGCAATCAATTTGATTAGTAATTAATGCTATTTTATTTGCAGACAATTTACAAAGTGATGGACGTACCCAGCAATGGTAATGCAACAGGAAAGTGTGATAAAACTGAACAAAATCTGACATTATCATGGGAATCACAGAATAATACCACCCAAGATAATTTCACGATTCATTTCGTGAAGAACGAAACGGAAAAATATTACTCTCTTCATCACTTTGAGATCTCTTTAGCGGCCGAAGAATTTCCGAATAATAAATCAAGTATGTGTTTATCTTATGTGAATTAAGTTGCACTTTAATCCCTTTTTCTTTAGGACAAATTTTTATTCTTAAATTTAAAATAAAAACAGCTTATTAGAGCCAAAACTGTTGGATATTTTATACATAAAATAATTTATAACGTCAAAATTAAAAATATATATAATAATATAATAAAATATATGTTTTGACCTTCCTGAATTCTTCAAATAAATGTGTGTCCATCAATTACATCGATGCATCATATATACATATTAAACGTGTAGACGTATCTATATAATGCATCGATGTAATTGATGAACACATTTATTGTCCGCTCTATCTACACAAAAGCGGCAAAAACTTTCAGGACACTCTGTACATATATATTTTATATATATATATTATGACACTATCTTTATAAATAACTGTGTTGACACTGAGGATGACCAGATTAAAAATCGAAACGTATGTTTTATTGTGTTACTATAATATATATGTTTTTAATTTTGACGTTATAAATTATTTTATTGTATAAAACATTCAACGGTTGTGGCTCTAATAAGCCCATCTCATTTAAAATTTAAGAATTATTAATTCTTGTGAATTGTTTTTATAATTTTAACTAAATTTTTATTTTTCTTCAGATAAGACGGTGACTGTAGTACATGTGACACCACAATTCAAAACTGGATTAAGCAACTCTTATAAATGTATCAAGGAACAGCAGCTGAATTTAACCCATAATAATGTAACTGTAGGATTTTTGAAAATAACCAATTTACAGTTCCAAGCTTTCCGAGGTGATAATACTACTATTTTTGGTCTAGGTGAGTATCCGGTTTTTTATCTTATCGCTTGTAACATGATTTATTTTTACATCGCTATTGTGACTATGAATTTATTTGTTCCCTTTATCTTTTCTTTTAGCTAAAGACTGTTCGTTTGATACGCCTGACATTGTTCCCATAACTGTGGGTTGTGCATTGGCGGGTTTGGTGGTAATCGTATTGATCGCATACCTCGTTGGCCGCAGACGAAGTCAGGCTCGCGGTTATCTTAGTATGTAAGCTGAGTTCCGTGAAGTTTCTTTCCTTCTTTTTCCTTCCCTCCCCCTTTTTTTTAAATCGTTAAACTGATATTTTTTTATGCGATTCTCTGTCTTAACAGAGTCGAAGGTCTTATCAGAAATCTGTATAGTTGTACTTTGTGTTCTATAGCCACAAAGGCTGTGACACATGTTAAGAAGAAAAAAAAATAGTTTATACGTTTGTAAAGTTATCGTGTCCGCGTGCGGCAATATTAGAAAAAAAAAGATACGTATCGCAAGGCGGTTCAAAATGATACAGGGTGAATGATAATTTCGAAGCAACATGCTCCGTTTTGCAAGGGCAAATACTCTCTAATAAATATGAATTGAATGACGTAGTTAAATCGCGAGATCTGCATCTTATCTATGCTGTTCTACTTTTGGCTGGCAGCGAGGATAATTTAATTGTTCATAAATATTATAGTATAAAATGAGAATAAGAAAAATTCTGATCAATATGTATAGCATTGAAGTTATGTTAAATATCCTTGCGCTGAACTCGCTGTTTCTTATAACGGTATATGTTATAACGCAAAGTTTCTTATCTATATTCTCTCCTTTTTTTTTTAAAAGGAATAATTTCCTAGCTTTATCGTGATACGATATATCTTTATATATCATACTTAATGCATACATCGATATGTTTCTGTTACATTCGTACTCGAATTCTTTTTATTAAAACTATACTGTGAAGTAATAGCAGTTGTTCATATAGCCCTAGGTATGCATGCGTGAGTATATCAGAATAGTATGAAGGAGCACGAGCTTCAAGCATTAATATTAAAGGTGTGCTTTACTTTGAATAAGCATAAATTAAACTGAATTAAGCTGAATTAGACACCACAAATAGTGCAATTTTAGGTGTAAAAAATTATTAGCTTACATTAAACGGAGTTAAATAAAACATAACATCAAAACGATAGCTCAATTAATATAATGTGCAAAATTTTGGAAAAACTTTGTTTCCTTGCTAAACATTTGGATATATCCCATTTAATGTAAACGATAGTCTTGGAAGAGAATATATATTATTGTTTGTAGGGGCACTAATAATTTTTAACGCAAGAAACATCCTTGTGTTTTACATCGCTGTTTAAAAACATGTTTTGATAGTTTTATCTAATATAAGATAATACACAAGGGTAACGAAATCTAGTATTTGTATTTAAAAAAAAAAGTAAATACGATTTCAGAATTTAACAGGAGTATCGTGTGCACCGTGCTGCTTCATAAAATACTATATTTCGACAAGACTGAACGACGAGTAGTGAGATGAAAGTGGAGGGCAAAAAGTAAAGTTAAACAAATTAAAGTAATTGAATATAAAGCAATGTACATAAAACAAAGTAGTAGTATTACTTTTGGATTACGAGCATTGCAGCTAGGCGAGATCTACATTATCAACAATAAAATGGAATATTTCAAGAATATTCTAACATTTCTTTTAGATTACATTCTCTCCACTCCAAAGAGTGCGGCCAAGATGTTTCCCCAATTCTGGTAAAATTAAGGGTTAAAATAGGATTAAAATATATCATGTAAAAAATTTTGTTGAGCTGAATACAAATATACAATTCTTCGTAATTTTGGCGCCCGATTCTCGCGCGAGTTTAAGGTGTCGCTTTTCAGGGAGAAAAACGAGTTATTCTCCCATTTCCAAATTTCTTCGTATCTCGAGGTACACTTTCCAAATTCGGTCTCTTCGATCTTACAATTCTCTTTAATGTGAGAGGAGTGTTTGAAAAGTAACGATAAATCTTTTGCATTGGGGCAGAATGGACTAAACTGAGAAGAAAAGTTCTCTACCATTTTACAATTTTCGCGATGGTTAACGAATCATTAACTTACGAAAATAGCCAAATTCGTCCAACCTACCGCCAAATGTAAGCGCGCGACAGGATAGGATCGCTATCAGCGTGGTGAGACGCGCATTCGCCGTCGCTAGATACGTAATGTCTAGCGACAATTACTTATGAACGTGCTTTTCAAACACCCTGTATATTTTTATTTTGCACCGATTTTTGGTCTCAAAGTTATAGGGCATACATTTATATAATATTATATACATTTTGAGTGCAGTTTATTAGTTATGTTGAATACGATTGATGGATAATGTGAATATTTCCAAATCTTCATTTGGAATGATGCAACCATAGCTATTGCCATCGACATATAGTACTGGACAGAACATTAGCATCGAAATCATCTTGGCAGCCTAGAAAGAGATAGAGTGATTACAGGGGTAGTAGTGAATCATGTAATCAAGGGCCCTGAGGTATTAAGTTGATAAATCTGTGCTCAGAATGTTACTTTTGCACAAAATACAGGGTGTCCCATTCATCATCGGTCGATTTGAATTTCGCGCTATTTTTAAAACGATGCCGAATCTAAGATCGTGATTTTTCATAATAATTTGCACGCGTTCTTTCACCGTGTACTTTTCCATGATTAATTTCCCATCTGTCTAAATGACATATGTGAAGTTTGAGGTTAATCGGTTTGACGTTTTAAAAATAGCGCGAAATTCAAATCGACCGGTGATGAATGGGACACCCTGTACACGTGAAAATCATATTTCATTTTTATTTTGTATCTAATAATTAATGATGTAAGTTTAGAATTATCTGCATTAATAACAGTCAATACTGTTGTTCAGAATTACGTTAAATTATTTCAGAGAAACTTTGGATTGAGCGACACATTGCATATTGTTTCGACTTTCGAGCAATCTTGACGTCAGAATGCGTATTTGTGTATTTCCGCGTACGAATGTTCGAAAATAAGTAAGAAAAGCTGTAATGATTTGTTATTGCTTTGCTCCGCATGCGCCGCTTGTGAAAAGTGAAAACTTTAACCATTGAAGTTAATGGAGAAATTTTTCACTTTTCATCCTAGAAAAAAAGTTTTATGATTGATACCTTGATCGGGGACTAATAGCATTATCGGTAAAGCCGGGAGCACATAGAAAAACGTAAGGCCGTAAGACGTAATCAGTAAGCGAATTGCCGGTAGAGACTGTAAGGATATATCCACACAAATTTGCATAGCTGCATAAATTTATGCATAAAGAAAATTTTCCAATCACGTACATCTTATAGGATATTATATTTTACGTACATCTTTATAGGATAAATGTGATTGGCTTAAGGTTAGTAACGAATCCAATCTTACGATATTCTTATTGATTAAAGTCCATGGTATATACAAAAACGTAGGTCGTAACACGTAAGCAATAAGGAAATCGTAAGATTGGATTCACTACTGGCCTTACAGTCTTTACCGTGATTGGGCAATTCGCTTACTGATTACGTCTTACGACCTTACGTTTTTGTATATGCCATGGGCTTTACATCTTAGAGCCATTCCATACAAACTTCCATAGCTGCATAACCGTATGCATAAAAAAATTATCCAATCACATTTCTTTCATAAAGGCAAACGTAAAATACGATTGGATGATTTTCTTTTGTGCATATGTTTATGCGGCTATGCAAGTTTGTGTGGAATGGCCCTTATGTTTTTCTATGTGCTCCTTGCTTAATCAATGTAGATCCGCGAATTCCCCAATTCGCGTGCGTGATCAAGTAGTTCGAATACAGAGAGCAACGAGCGAGGACTCGAGGCGATCCCATTGTACTATCACGAACCGGCTAACAAAAATAAATTATCTGTGTCACTGTGTCGGGAGATCGAAGGCTCTCTGAGTCGATAACAATTGTGATGGCTCCTGACTTTAAAGAATATACTACTGTCCTCCTTCCGAAACATAATTTGACCAATAGAACAAGAGTAGAAAGAGAGTTCTGTGCCCATTTAGTTACCTTACTCTTTTTAGGTCCGTCAAGACGAAAAAAGATCAAAGAGATTTTGCCACATACTCCGTTCAGTACTATATGTCGATGATTGTAGCCATATGCAAGGTATCATATGATCACGGTGAAAGAATTTGGCTGCGTTCAGCGGACTCAATAGTTCTGCGGACGCAAACGTAGTGAAAGGCGTTGGATATGCTGGAGCGTGCGACGAGAACAAACTTTGTCAATAGGTGCATCCAGAAGCACGATCGGTCACTGAGTGCTCAGTGAGCTCTTGTATCTGTTTGGTCTATATTTTTAGTTCTAACAGAATATATCACTCAGATGCAAGAGCTTACTGAGCGCTCAATGAGTGGTTGTGCTTCTGGATGCATCCAATAGCTGCGTGCGTTCAGCGGATTCAACAGTTAAATGAGCGCTCGCTGCTATGTATTCTTCCAGATCTAAAATACTGATTGATGATCTAAAAGAATACGCCATGCTTACGACGCTTTCGACGCTACAATACGATGAATGTAGAATGGCCTTTATTTATGGACAATTGGAACATAACTTGTGTTGCCGTATGCACGAAAGTGTCTAGGGATATTGCAATTGGAAAGCACTCATTACAACGTCACATTCGATACTGGTCATATCGCGGGTGCCTTTAGAACATGATGGAAGGGATTAACAATATTGGCCTAGTTTCCACCGAGGAAATTGTTATAGTCGAATGACAGGGGAATGCTCGACTGTAGTTAATTGGTTCTTAAAGCCGCAATACAGACTTTTGCATAACGCATAATGCATGGTGCATATGCGATTAAACTAATCAGAATCTTTCCTTTTCTCCCATTCCATGGAAAAGAAGAATTTCAATTGATTGATTCCTTTATACACTATGTATTTCTACATTCGTCGTATTGTAGCGTCGTAAGCATCATGTGATTTTAAAATTGAAGCATCGGATTAGCTGAAACAACAGCTTGTAACTTGCGACGTCTACGATATGATCAATGTAGAATGGCCTTTATTGTCGACACAATACTACACATCTATACTCAGTCGAGGGCTGCGTAAGCTGGTGTTTTCTAGTGACAATTATATGTTACTAATTACGGCAGCTATAAATGAGGTTGGAAGACGTTGAGTGGCACTTTTTTTACTTTTTTTTGTTTAATACAGGCGAAAAAAGCTACATTTAATCTAACTCTATCCGAAACGGATCTCAATCGTGCACAACATACACATTCTGTTTCAATTGAATCGTGCACAATGTTAAGGCTTAAACATAATAGCACGGGCCATAGACATCGCCAACAGGGAATAACGAGCCGTTCAATCAGAGCTCTGGTGTGTAAATTCGATATTATATTCCAGAGCTCTCTGATTGGACTCGTTATTCCCTGTTGCCTGTGCCCATTGCTTGTACTGTTGTGTTTAAGCTTTTACACTTAGTACATTCCTGTATATGTTTGTGTTAAGATGTATTAAGCAATTGGAAAGCACCCAATGAAAGAAGGGAAAGGCTATTTCCTAGAGTAGCGCACTCTTTCACATGGAAGGGCGCCAGAAGAAGTGGAGACGAATCGGAGTATTTATGGAGCGGAAAAAGACTGTTAGTAATCGATATAATTTAGGAGTGGGATTTAATAAACAAGGAAAGATGTTTTCATAAATATTAAAAAAACGACTGCGAAGATAATTGATGAGATTGTTAGTTTTCGAACGAGTTAATTGACAGCGAAAGATAATGGTTTATGTCTGGGGGGGATCCCGCATGACAAGCCGCAGATTTAGTCAGATTTTTCCGAAAGAGGCCATAATTTAAATTATAGTGGTTTGACTTGATTCGATTGACTGCGATGATTTCCTCTCGACCAAGACATTTATGATGGTACCACGGCTTGGTGAAGGAATTTGAGAAATATTCTAAATAGAGTTGGTCCTTCGTTAGCATTTGTTCGAATAAATCATGATGTAAGCACTTGTTCGAATAAATCATGATACCAAGTGTTTCATTGCGCATAATGGCGATAGCAATATTGGAAACAATCAATTAAATTTTTTTTTTTTCCATATTAATTAAATTTTTACCCAAATTCACTTTTCTGCGTATAATAACGCTGACATATTGAAATAGCCAATGAAATTTGTGTCCAAATTCACGCTGTTACTGCGCAACCACGGAAACAGAACACTTGGTATCCTTACATCATGAAATAAATAAGTACAGAATCGTTTGGCGCTTTGGACTCCAGTTGGTGATCTATGTAGGGAACGCAGTACATCGGACGGACATTGGAGGTGTAGGCATTTTTAGTCAGCTGGTCAGCAGTTTTGTTATCTGGAATGTCCGTGTGCGAAGCTACCCAAAAAAGCTCGATGGGAAATCCAGCTTGTTGGACAAATCAGATGTTGAACTTAAGAAGGCTGATGAGATAATTGTTGCAGTTAGGTTTAAGATGACTTTGAGAACACTTCTCGAA